GAGAGAGAGAGAGAGAGAGAGAGAGAGAGAGAGAGAGAGAGAGAGAGAGAGAGAGAGAGAGAGAGAGAGAGAGAGAGAGAGGACCTTTGGCAGAAAACTTTGGGAATGCTGGTCCTGGCCAAGTTCATGTTACTGTACATTACAGTAACATATATGATGGTAGAGGCCACTCGCCAGAGAGAGCTTGTGAAAGTAAGTAGACAATGGATCAGTGAGCAACTGTGCAGACGGACGTAGATATTGTGAACCTGAATGGGAAGTTGTCCACATTCTGGGCACATGAACAGACACATCAGCCGCCCACAAAGAGCTATAGAAAGCACATTCCCCTGAATAGCCAGATTAAAAAAAACTATAGAAAGTGTATTCCCATGAATCGCGGATAACAGACTACCAAAATGTCAACAGTCAACAAAAGGCCGTAACAACAACGGAGACAGGTAAGTAACAATAAAAAATACACAACTCCTGAAAAACAAAGGGCGTCGTTAGACACTGCTATTGAAATCCTCGGGCAATAGGAAAGATTCCTAATGGCTCAAAAGGAAATTTGGGCTCTTCGGTACACTTGTCCTTGGGGACGTGGCCCCAGGAAATTTCCTCTGACTGATGTCAGAAAAGGAAAAGAAAAGAAAAGAAAAAAAACAGTTTTGCTTCAGGCCTTCAGCCAATAGGGTGCCGCCACGATCCAGATTCTCGGCTGTAACGTCTATCTACCTGTGTGCCCTCTCCTCTCCGTGAAACGCGTATTCCTTGTGCCCAAGGGACCTCGCGAGGTCCCTTGGGCACAAGGAAGAAATGGCTGGGGAAATTCCTAATGCCAGAGGAATTTCCTTACGAGTGTTTTCACTTTTTTTTCCGGATTGCATCCTCGAGGATAGGTGGAAAGAACAATTCCTTGGGGTTTTCACGTCCCCGAGGAGTGTCTAACGACGCCCAAAATTGCGTTGAACTCAACGCGAGGACGTGAGGGTAGGGGGCTTTATATATTCGAGTTTTTCGAGTTTCTTTGAGGTTATTTTATAAATGAACAAAACAACAACGGCGTGGCTTTGCAGAAAAATGAAGAACCGATGGATTATCCCACGATAATCCATCTCCGATGTCACGCTGTGTCCCACGTGATAGAAATCTCAACGCTGAGCTAGCTCAATGGTGCAAGTGGGACATGGCCCCAGGAACTGGTGTGGGGTGGAAGAAATGGGTTTGTTTACTAGTTTAAACTGCCAGTACCTTTCCCAGGCAAAAAAAAATTGCCCGCCGGTTAACACACAGGCCGGTCCCGGGTACGCTCAACAGTCAGATGAATCCCAAATGCTTGGCGCACAGAGCCCGCGGCCGACAAATGGTAAAGCTACCGGCGGTTTAAGTACTCCCATCTTACTGCCCATCCATGAATTTCATGTGTCCTTTCAAAAAATAGCTGCACTGGTTCCATGGTCATGGGCATTCTCTGAGGGGCACTACTGGAGAAGGCAAGATGGCCAAGTTGGCCCCATTCTGTACCAGATCCGCAAAAGGAAAGCTTGGCAGAAGAGTAAGGTGTTCGGGGTGTTTGGTTAAGGGGATGACTCATCCAGCCCTATCCCTCTCTTCTTGCACTCGGGGGTGAGTGAATGGCTCTTCCCACCAATCTGTGGTGGTCTGCATCGAGAAAGCATAAACCATTTTGCTGTGGAGCCCCGATTTCCGACGTGGGCCTATGGGCCTGGCTCCACTACCATATGTGCAAAATGAGAATGAATCTTCCGCTAGAATATGGGATGATACGCGGCCATATTTTTGGTCTTTTGTGCATGTAGTGAGTCGTGGAGGGAGGCCCTATTTCGGGAAAGAAGAAGATCCTTGTTTGCTGTGGAGCCCTGATTTCGTTCAGGAGAAATTGCTGTAGTAAGTCTGTGGAGCACAAACCTTATCGGCTCTCAAAAAACTCCCAAAGATATTGCGACCAGATCTCTCTATGACACACCAGCTCCTTCAGAAACCTTATCCTCACTCCAAACGT